AGACAAACAGACACACAAAGAGACCGATACAGACAGAGGGAGAGTGAAACAGATAAACCCGGTAATGAACCCAAAGGGACAACCCAAAACACTCACTCGCCCAAATGAACGAACGCACGAACCCGACAAACCCCCAACGACAGAGCCCTCTCACCCTCCGCCCTCTCAACCTCGCACCAGCAGCTCATATACAAACCGACCCCCGCCCACAGATCGCCCGCGTATACATAAGGCCGCCTGTTTACAACCTGGCCGACACGTGTGCGCGAGATATATTTGGGAAACGCAGACACAAAGAAGGAGGACGAGAGACAGGGAGAGAGAGGGAGTGCGGAAGAGGATGGGGATGGGGAAGGCGAAGGGAGGGGCTAAGGAAGGGGAGAGGGAAAAGGGGAGAGAGGAGGAGAAGAGAGAGAGGAGAGAGAGATGAAGGGAGAGAGAGGAGAGAGAAGGAAGAGAGAGAGAGAGAGAGAGGAGAGAGAGAGAGAGAGAGAGAGAGAGAGAGAGAGAGAGAGAGAGAGAGAGAGAGAGAGAGAGAAATTTAATCCCATATAACGGTAAATATATCTTAATACGGAAAAAGTCATATTCACAATATAAAACAAAGCTTGAATGGGGATAAAAATACACCTTAAAATTCGAGGGCAGAAGGGACCACCTCTCCCCGTCAGGTCATCATAGGTCAAGCCTCCTCCCTAACCCCTCCCCCTTCCCCCCACCTATCCTAAAAGCATAGCTCATGAAGCATAATAAAAAACAGCAAAACCCACAAAGTTAGTAATTAGACCCAAGGGAAAGCCGTTAAAAACACACCTGTCGAAAACACCTGTTCCGCTCTAACCTAGTTAATGCGGCCACATCTTACCTTACGGAAACATCTGCACATGCGCCCCATCCCACACCTGCGCTCTGGTACTACTGTGTCTCGAAGGGAAAGGAGGCTGCGGACGGGTTTCCAAATCGAGTTTTTTCCTCACTATTTCATTTATTTTATGTTTTCGTTTTTTTCTTGGGTCTTCTAAGGGCCTTTGATTGTGCATTTTAGCTATTGGGTATTCTGACTACGGAGAAGGTGGCTCTCTATCGGTGGAATGGGGCTTTGTTGCCGATTTTAGCCCAGACGAGTTTTTATTTAGATTAAATGGCCTATCTGTTGCCTCATCAGACGCGGTTGCCAAGTGTGGAGTTTTGGACCATTATATTAACGCCTTCCGAAAAAGGAAATACTAAACACACCGATAAAAGTGAATGAACAGATCCCCAAGACACACGAGTACAAAATATCTTCAATGCACACCACGACACTAAGCTAAACTTGACTGGAAACGCAAGTAAGCCACTCTAAGAGAAAACGGGAGAGGATGGACACCTGTAATTATGTCTCCCGGGCAGGTGTCATTTTCTATGCAGACGTCAACAACCCCATCTCGGGAAACGCCATTGGAGGATGTAATTTGTTTTTCCTTAAACATTCCTTCCCTCCATTTCTTGGTGGTCTGTTATATTTCAACCGGCCTCGATATACACAGTTTTCTCGTTACATATTCATTTCACCCCTTTACCCCACTCGGCATCATGCTTGGCTGTGTAAACGCACATCTCGCTCCCAAGAGCATTTCCTCGGATCCCCAAGGGCAGCTCTTGACAACGCTCCGGAGAGGATCGGAAGCCGGGACATTCGCATGTATGTCGAGTAACGAAATCGGAAAGGGTCTTGGCGCAGGCCGCACGCTGGATTTGGTCGGCTTCCCCATGCGTCCCGAGAGGTGGCCTCGCATCTTGACAGATATGTGCATGTGCGCGCGCGCGTCTTGCTCGGGTGCGAAGCCCTCCCGCTGCCTCGTGCCGCCCGCAAGCAAGCAGGCGGTTGGACGGCCCTGGGCGTCCGTAGCCCGCACAAGAAGGCCAACCCCAGGAAGGGCGCAATGGCGTGCAAACAAGGCTTACAGGATTAGGGAAGACTCGCAAGAAGCGGAGCGCAGGCCGCAAGCATCGGGTGAAGGCCGCCGCCAGGGGTTTCAGCGCCAAACACGGGCGCGCAGGAAGGTCACTAGTTTTCAATACAACGCATTTTCCCTTTCGAAAAACATGAAATAACGTGTATACACAATGGATGCACGTGTTTATGTACATGCATGTGTACACCTGTACATATAAACACATACATGTAGTCACACACACAAACATGCACATATATGTATGTATGTATAAACACACACAAATATATATATATTATAATAATTATATATATATATATATATATATATATATATTATAATTATATTATATATATAATCTGTGTGTGTGTGAGTGTGTGTGTGTGTGTGTGTGTGTGTGTGTGTGTGTGTAAATATTTATATTTATACATAATATATTCATATATATTTTATATATTATATTTATATATATATTTATACAGATATCTACTTACATTATACACACACACACCACTCGCTGTAACGGCGCCAGAACCAAAGTCCTCCGAGAGCGCGCACCGGCC